CATGAGTCCACCATTCAGTCAAGCCATTTTGGAAGTGCCTCCGTGATGGGGCGATCTTGGACTCATTGGAGGCAAGTTATGTCAACCACGTGGATCAAGTTACTTCGTTTTGTTTTCTTTTATTTTTGGAACTTGTTGTGTATGGATAATTTTGTACAAGTGTGCTAAGATGTTTTGACGTTCTATGTGTCTATATCTATGAGAAGGTTGAAGTTTAAATTTAATACGGACTTTCATGTATGCACTGCTCGATGTACATGTCTATCCGGTCATGGCCTAAGCCTCTTGGGGTGGGTTCGAGTCGTGACAAGGGGAGTTAGGAAACCTGCTTACTGTTGGTAGCGTTTACTTACAACAACAATTTTCATTATAGCATCGATATGGCACCGTATAAAGCCTTGTACGGCAGGAAATGTAGATCTCCAATCTGTTGGATAGAAGTTGGAGATAGAGTTTTGCTTGGTCCCGAGATTGTGCAAACGACCACCAAAAAGATTAAAGTCATTCAACAAAGGCTTAAAACTGCACAAAGTCAACAAAAGAGTTATGTAGATCATAGAAGAAGGGCTCTTGAGTATGAAGCCAGTGATCATATGTTCATTCGTGTGATTCCAATGAGTGGCTTGTCAAGATTCAGCAATAAGGGCAAGTTGTCACCCCGATATATTGGGCCATTTCAGATTTTGGAAAGGCTAGGTCCAGTTGCATTTGGAATTGCTCTACTGCTAGGGATGGGACTAGTGCATAATGTGTTCCACGTATCGATGTTGAGGGGTTACCTCCGAGATTCGTTCCATGTTATTGATTATCATCGGATAGCTCTCGACGATAATATGGAATATGAAGAAAGGCCAATACAAATCATCGATCGACAAGTGAAACAACTGAGAACTAAAGCGGTTTCCATGGTTAAGATAGAATGGAAGAAACATTATGGTACGGAAGCAACTTGGGAGAAAGAAGATGAAATGGGGCAAAAGTATCCGGAGTTATTTTTGACATAAGGTAACGCAAGTTTGGAGGACCAAACTTCTTGAAGGGGAAAGACTGTGACAACCCCGTTACATATTATGCTTTTAATCATTGATTTTGAATGTTATTCAAGTGCTTAGTGAGAATTTGAATGCTAATTATGTGCTTAATATAATTTTTGAATTTATATCTGTTAGCCGTAGGAAAATTTGTTATGATTTCTATTATAATCTGAAAAGGTCTTAATGGTGTCAAAAATCGAAATTGATTAGTTTAATATGAATGGCATAATTTTTAGAGTCTAATAAGAAGTTTAATTAAAATTTTGATTTGAATTAAATTAATTAGATTAAATCAATCTAATTAAGCCTTAGATTAATTAATCTAAGCTTTAATTACTTAGCTTAATCCTTAGTTAGTTAATTAAGTTAATCTAGTCTATAAATATGAAGGAAGTGTTGATTTAGCTCATTATTCACTCAACAATTCTAAAATTTCATCTTAGAGAGAGAAAGAGCAAGTTCGAGAGAGAGAAACAAGAAAACTTGGAACATTGGTTAGGAGATTGTGGAATTGTGAAGGAGAGCTCAAAAATTGGCTAGAGAAAGCTTGATTCAAGAGCTTAGGTGAGCTTTTGAACCTTAATTCATGAGTTTAAGTTAACAAATGTGTATTCAAGAAGTTATAAGATTAATCACAAGAGAATGGTCTAAAAATGAAGAATTTGGGGCTAGATCATATATGCATGAATAATTTTGTTGACTTTAATCATTTTGAGCATAATATTGTTATCCATGTTTGAATTGAGGATCATATCATACATTCACTCAAGAATTAAGTTGTTTTGAAGCTAATCTCTATGTTTTGTAAGCTTTGGAAAGGAATTTGGAGTTAGATGTTACATGCATAATCATTTGAGTTTGAATTCATGAAGTTTGACCTTGAGTTTTGAGAGTTGGTTTTGTATCCATGTTTATAGAAGAGTTTTTAAGTGTTTGGGAGGTTGTGTATAAGCCATGCAAGCTTTTGATTTGAAAATACATGTTTTGAAGTTCAACTATGTTCTGGAAAACTCAGAATTCGACCGCATCGCTTGAGCGACTGGAAAACCCAAAATTCGATCAAATCACTTGAGTGAACAAACTATCGCTCGAGCGCACATCTTTTACATCTAGTATTTTTGCAGACATTTGTAGTTGGCTCGAACAACTAAGTTACCGCTCAAGTGATCGCCTTTTTATTTTGCACCTTGGCTTGATCGATCGTCAAGCCTAGATTCGGACAGTCCAGTACTTTTGCAAACCATGTGGTTCGCTTGAGCGACTAATCTTGCGCTCGAGCGAAGTGTTCTATTTTAGCATATTTTGAAAAGACATATTTCTGATCACTTATGTATTCTCATTCCTTTCTGAACATTATTAAGCATGAATTGAGCATCCTAAATGAATTAAAGAGTTAGAATGAAGTCTATGAGAATTGAATAAGTTAGAGAATGATTCAAATGAACAATGTGATTCAATGTGTATATGTTTATGAATTGTGTAGGATCATCCGCAAGGACATGTCAGCAACCGAATCACTGTGAGTAATATCTTAAAAAAGATATTTTATTATTTACTCTATTTTCTGAATGTCCTAATGTGGTTAGTTTTTCCGAATCTATGATTTTACAAGTATGAATGAGTTTCCATCTACCTGATTAACATGATATCTGCAAATGTGTTTGATGAAATACAAATGTATATGATGAACCTAAGGTTGTTTTGTATATCTGAAATGGATCCAAGGTTTGATTATCATCGGATAGCTCTCGACGATAATATGGAATATGAAGAAAGGCCAATACAAATCATCGATCGACAAGTGAAACAACTGAGAACTAAAGCGGTTTCCATGGTTAAGATAGAATGGAAGAAACATTATGGTACGGAAGCAACTTGGGAGAAAGAAGATGAAATGGGGCAAAAGTATCCGGAGTTATTTTTGACATAAGGTAACGCAAGTTTGGAGGACCAAACTTCTTGAAGGGGAAAGACTGTGACAACCCCGTTACATATTATGCTTTTAATCATTGATTTTGAATGTTATTCAAGTGCTTAGTGAGAATTTGAATGCTAATTATGTGCTTAATATAATTTTTGAATTTACGTCTGTTAGCTGTAGGAAAATTTGTTGTGATTTCTATTATAATCTGAAAAGGTCTTAATGGTGTCAAAAATCGAAATTGATTAGTTTAATATGAATGGCATAATTTTTAGAGTCTAATAAGAAGTTTAATTAAAATTTTGATTTGAATTAAATTAATTAGATTAAATCAATCTAATTAAGCCTTAGATTAATTAATCTAAGCTTTAATTACTTAGCTTAATCCTTAGTTAGTTAATTAAGTTAATCTAGTCTATAAATATGAAGGAAGTGTTGATTTAGCTCATTATTCACTCAACAATTCTAAAATTTCATCTTAGAGAGAGAAAGAGCAAGTTCGAGAGAGAGAAACAAGAAAACTTGGAACATTGGTTAGGAGATTGTGGAATTGTGAAGGAGAGCTCAAAAATTGGCTAGAGAAAGCTTGATTCAAGAGCTTAGGTGAGCTTTTGAACCTTAATTCATGAGTTTAAGTTAACAAATGTGTATTCAAGAAGTTATAAGATTAATCACAAGAGAATGGTCTAAAAATGAAGAATTTGGGGCTAGATCATATATGCATGAATAATTTTGTTGACTTTAATCATTTTGAGCATAATATTGTTATCCATGTTTGAATTGAGGATCATATCATACATTCACTCAAGAATTAAGTTGTTTTGAAGCTAATCTCTATGTTTTGTAAGCTTTGGAAAGGAATTTGGAGTTAGATGTTACATGCATAATCATTTGAGTTTGAATTCATGAAGTTTGACCTTGAGTTTTGAGAGTTGGTTTTGTATCCATGTTTATAGAAGAGTTTTTAAGTGTTTGGGAGGTTGTGTATAAGCCATGCAAGCTTTTGATTTGAAAATACATGTTTTGAAGTTCAACTATGTTCTGGAAAACTCAGAATTCGACCGCATCGATTGAGCGACTGGAAAACCCAAAATTCGACCAAATCACTTGAGTGAACAAACTATCGCTCGAGCGCACATCTTTTACATCTAGTATTTTTGCAGACATTTGTAGTTGGCTTGAACAACTAAGTTACCGCTCAAGTGATCGCCTTTTTATTTTGCACCTTGGCTTGATCGATCGTCAAGCCTAGATTCGGACAGTCCAGTATTTTTGCAAACCATGTGGTTCGCTTGAGCGACTAATCTTGCGCTCGAGCGAAGTGCTCTATTTTAGCATATTTTGAAAAGACATATTTCTGATCACTTATGTATTCTCATTCCTTTATGAACATTATTAAGCATGAATTGAGCATCCTAAATGAATTAAAGTGTTAGAATGAAGTCTATGAGAATTGAATAAGTTAGAGAATGATTCAAATGAACAATGTGATTCAATGTGTATATGTTTATGAATTGTGTAGGATCATCCGCAAGGACATGTCAGCAACCGAATCACTGTGAGTAATATCTTAAAAAAGATATTTTATTATTTACTTTATTTTCTAAATGTCCTAATATGGTTAGTTTTTCCGAATCTATGATTTTACAAGTATGAATGAGTTTCCATCTACCTGATTAACATGATATCTGCAAATGTGTTTGATGAAATACAAATGTATGTGATGAACCTAACAAAAATATATATCCGTGACGAAATTTTTAGTCACCAAACAACAAAATCAATGAAAACTTTCATATATAAGTTGCAATAATTTGTCACAAAAAATATTTATTAGTGACGAATAATCACTTTGTCATAATAACAAGTACAAATGACGAAAAAAATTCGTCACTAAACTTGTGCTGTATTTTATATTTTAATTTAGATTATTATTTCACAAATATCCCTGTTCATATCCCAAAAGGCTTTTAAATCAAGTATGATCTATTCTGCTCTGTATCTCTGTATATGTTAGATCCAATGTCGTTCTGTCATGTATTGGACCTGAGCTGGTTCCGTTGTGATATGAAATTAATATGATGGGAATGATTTTACTTTTACATTAGATCTCATTCATATAACCTCTTTACTCTGATGTTATTCACTGGGCTTTCGCTTACTCTGTATTTATATGTATATGGGTGAGTAGCGGGATGTCTAGTCCCAGTGAACCTAATATTTTGTCACATATAATAAAAAAAATTCAAGTATGCTTCCAAACGTCATCAAAAACCAATTTGCAAAAACAATAAACAAGAAAAACATCAACATATTATCAATTACATTGTATAGACCTCTCTATCCATGTCAATACAGAGAGGAACTTAATAATGCACTTAAGGAGCTGTGCATATAAGAAATGAACGATACCAATAGAATTGATAGCCACATGCGACAATTCCAATGAATGCCCTGAGACTAAAATTTAGTACTTATGGCAGTCCATTTATGAGTAATGTATACAAAAAGGATTTGTTCTCCCCATTATTGAACCTGTAAAACTTGGTATAACGGAAATGACGTCTATCATAACAATTATATCTTGCAAACGACATATAATGAATTTTTGAATTCTTTATATGTTTAAAAGTTTCCAATGCCAGTTTGGAATTGAGTTTATAAAACAATTTTTGAATTTTTGAGTTTTATTTTTATTTTTAAATGTATAATTTAAATATATTTAAAAAATAAAATCTTTATAATTTTTTTTTAAAATTCAATAAACATAAAAAAAATACAAAAATGTACAACAAAAATATGTATTTAGTGAAAATTTTTAAAAAATTTCACAAATTTTCTAGTTTTTCAATGTATTTAGTGAAATTTTTTATGTATTTAGTGAAATTTTCTAGTTTTTCAGTGTATATTGAGATTAAGTGGACAAAAAAAAAAGAAGGTTAATTTATTTAAAAACAATTCACTAAAAATCAAAAAATATGAATTAAAAACTCTTAAATTATTTTTGAAAACTGTAAAATCAAAATATTTAATGTTTTTCGAAATAATTGTTAAGGTACGATGATGAAATCGGATTTTTCTCTCTCATATATAAGAAAATAGTGTAATTTTTTTTTTTATTTTTTAAGTATGTGTAGCATACTAGCATTATTGAATTATTTAGAGGTGAATTGAAGACTTAACTCCTTTACACCAATGACTCACATTCAAGTCCAGAAGATATCAACATCAAGACACGAGGTTAAGTCCAAAATTTTATTTTATTTTTTTGAAATTTTTTAATTTTTAATCATGTGGGATTGTTGAAGATGTTTCAAACTTAATTGTTCCTTGTGTTCCTTGTCATGCATTGATTTCTTATCAATTCCTTTGAGACTTTATATTCTAACATTTCCTCACAATTGTTGCCAATTGATACACATACATATACCATGTGTCAAATTTGGCACAAGGTCTAGTTATAGTGAAATATGTCATGTCAACAAAGTTGCCATGAAACATTGTACATCTCTCAACGAAATTTTCAAAAATAAAAAAAAATTAAGAAATACCACAATTAACTCTACAAAAAAAAAAAGCACAAAAAAATATAAATTTTATGACTTCGAATGGACCACGAAAAAAAGAAAAAGAAAATATAGGAAACAAATTTTATTTTCTTTGTTTTTTTGTTTTTGTTTGTTTGTTTGTTTGTTTTTTTTTTTTTTTTTTTTTTTTTTTTTTTGTGTGTGGCAGTGTTGGAAGAGTAATGGTTGAAAAATAGTGGTTGAAAGAATGATAATTAATTTAAGCAAAACTAGTTGAGCCAAAGAATAGCAACCTGATCATTGGAAAAACATTGTTAAATTATTCCTCAAAAAAAAAAAAAATTGTTAAATTATAAATTTTTTACATGATTCATTGCTAAATATAACTTTAGCTATTGAATTTAGCTAGTGACCATTGGAGAAACTCTAACACTAAAACTGATCCATGATAGCTAAGTTGATATGAATGTAGTTTTCTCTTTTTGTTTCACCTTCTTTTTTTTTTTTCCCTTTTAAAGACTACTTGTCGCCTAGAAACATCATCTACATAAAATATAAAATTGTTGCCAAAAACAAAACAAAAAAGAAAAAAAAAGAAAAATATAGTTAGTGCTCGTTTGGCTAAGATTTTGGGACTAAAAAATCACAAAAAGATAAAATAAGTTATATAAGCCAATAAGACAAAATACCACTTTTTACCTATAATCATCACTTTTTTTCTTTTACAAAAGTCAAAAAAACCCCAAAACAAAAATCAAACGAGTTTAAAAAAGTCTCAGGCTTAAAAAGTTGGCTATATTAGCCAATGTGCCATTGTCAACCCCAGCCTTTGGAAAATTACACTACTAGCTCTATATTCATAAGTATTTGTAAAATATATCATTGGATTGTCTCTTAGTTTTTTCAAAATCTTTCTATTAATTTTATATTTCATTAATGTTTCACAATGTATAATTAGATGATTTCTAACTAATTCGTATGCTGCTTAGCATCAATAAGATTTACTTAATTTTATTTATAGAATAGATGTATGCCATTTCTTTTTATTTTTATTTCAAAAATAAAAAGTACACTT